CACACACACACACACACACACACACACACACACACACACACGTCTCAGTAAAGTGTTTTCCAATAATGACAAACATTTTTTATAGAGGAGAAACTAAATAATAATCATTTACATAATGTCTGATTCTGCTAATTTCATAATGTTTGGCTCTAAATGTTAAACTCAGTGAAAACAAAATTTTAGGAATCCTGGGTCCTCTTGTCCCCTTCTTCAGGTTGGAGTTAAGATAGCCATCACTTTTCAGGTGAAAATCTGGTACACATCTTTTCTGTGATGAGGGAGTGAAGCTGGTATAGCACACAGCTATAAGCCCTTCACAAAGAGAAAAGCCCCATCTACTTTGCTGTATAATTTTCTAAAGACTCTCACACTAGCATCATACTACATTAATTATATATTAAGGCCATGCAAGTATATGTAATATATAATGTAGGAAGAAGTTTTATACAGTGTATAAGACTCAATGAGGAAATCTACTTTTCCTGTATTAAAAAGCTAATGCAGTGTGGCAGAGAAGCTGATAGAAGAACCATTACATAATGGCATAAATATTGAGAACTTTTCTAAAATGATAATTTCAAGGATGATATCAAGTCAAAAACACAGGGCTAATTGTAAGTAATAAGTAAGACAAATAAACAAGACATTTATACCCAGCTATCTTAAAATAAAATAGATTTAAAAATCTGCATTTAAAATAGAAATAGGAAACTCTGAAATTATTAAAAGGAAAATTCATTGATGACCTTCAAAGACATTTTCAAACAAAGTGAGAAAGATTAATGGCCATTCACAGTTTAAAATCAGGTAAGTTCATGATAGAAGGTAACTTCCATGTGGTAAAGAGAAGGAAAGTTTAGGAAAAGGCAATACCACCATCATAACAATTCTGCTCACCATTTACGGAAGTTTAAAAAAAGTAAAACTAGAACCGTGAGCTTCTAGACTGTAGCACTGCTGTCCTTTCTCTATTGACATGAGGAAATATCTCCCAAATGTCACAACATATCTATTATAAAATAAATGATAAGCTGTACTTAAGAGATTGTAGTATGAGGAGTGTACAAGAACAAGGTACACATTGCCTGAAACTTTCTACAATACAGTAACAAATGTATGAGTCAACTAAAATATACATATGAGAGAGGGGAATAGTTAAATATTCAAATGAAAAGTAAATGGAAATCATTATCAATCCAGAATATTTTCTCCAGCCAAAAATTAGTGTCCTTGTGTATGAGAGTTTCAAAAATATAACAATAAAACAGGAAGTAAATCATTTCAAGTTATGAAAAATGAAATTTGCTACTATCTGTCTTTCACTAAAAATAAATGATAGAAATTGTTTTAAGCTAAAGAAAAAAATGAGCAAGGAAATGGTGAATATTTGAAAAGTATAAGACTATATTGCTGAATAATTATAAGGTAAGAATAATGACAGGAATTTTTTAAACCAACTAGGATTCTACTATGTGAGGACTTATGCAACTATTGCTGGATAAGTACCATATTGAAGTTATACCTGAACATTTATTCTCCAAAGACATGTAAATTTACTGAAAGAAGAGAATTTTTTATTGTCTTTTTGCTCATATAGAATATTGTATAGTGTCTGCTACTTAGTTTGCACTTCAAAATTACATTTTACAACTTTGACATAATTTATTCCCTAATAATATTACAAAACAAAAGATGTACTCCATAATTAATGGCGTTATATTATGTGAGCAAATGCATACACTCAAACATATGCACACACGTATGCACACACATATGCACGCACACATTTTATGGAAGTAAGTTTTGAAAATTTCATAAAAGTGTGTGTCATAAACAATTTGTTCAATTTCAGTTTGCCTTTATATAGCTAACAACCTAGAAAACTGGCCCTTGATATATTGTTTACATACTCTTTTACTTGTATTGTTCTTTTCAAATAGGACAATGTATCCTGGATAAAATCTCAAATAAAGATTCTTGTTATGTCCAATATGCTATATAGAATATTTTATTATTGGTTCATTTTGTGGAAACTTCAATTCTACCTGTCTTGCCATTGAAAACTCAGGTTCATATTTCTTAAAAATAAGAAAATGAACATATCTAATTCATCAAATCCGTAGTCATTATTCACCAACCCTTATCAACAGTTAACACCAGTTTCCCAGATTAAAATGCATTTGTGAATAACAGAAGCCACAAAGATGTCTTATTTTTCACCTGTTAAAAGGCATGTTTCAAATATCATCTGATGTTGTCAATAATCATTTGCATAACCCAGAATACTGACATGATTCAATAATGTGATTATCACTTATTGATACCATGAGACAAGTCTAATTCTAGAAAATTTAAAAGAAAGAAACAGGACAATGATATGTGATTGACAATATCGATTCTGTCCTAAACCTATTTAATGTGAATTAAAATGTCAAATACACATTCTAATCCAGAGAATGTGTTTGCTCAGCAAAGAAACAGCAGTGCACAGATTATAGTTTCCACAGATGAATAACTTTATATTATACTGTTTACCTGCCAAAAGAAAACAAAACAAAATATGCAAACCAGATGATAATGGATTAAAGATGACCCCAAGTTCAAACTTATTTTCAATTTTCTGCTTATTTTTATCTAATATAAACATTTGCAATATTTTTAAGAGAATGTAATTACATTTATAGTATAAAAATGGAACAGTGGTACATCAGTAAAAATTATCAATCGCTTAGAACATACAAATTTATTATTTTATGTATACTAATTTGGCCCAGTATTTACATTTCCATTTGTATTACATTCAAGTAATAGATTAAATTAAAATAAAATAAACTGACTCATCCTTATTTCCAGCCCCCAAAGGCATATAGTTAATGCTATTCCCAAACTCAGAGAGAAAATAGTATTTTATATTCATATGTGAAAGAATGTACAGTGGTGACATCATGAATTTCCAGTTTAGAAAGAATTGACAGTGTCACATTATTATAAATATATGCATTAAACTTAAATATATGTTGCTACTAGAAATAACTATGTATGGGATTGAGGCAGGCATGTGCTGTGCTAATAAACAAATTTGCCTGTGACCTGTGCACATTTGCTAGACAGTATTTACTTCATAGCCTTGTGATAGAGAAAATATAGATCCTGTATATGATGAATAGAAAATACTTTGAGAGTTATAGAAGGGCATCTGGCATCTAAAAATGAGGAGTCTGTCTTTTCATATTTCATATGAGTTTATTTTGACAGCTACAGTAACAAAGCCAAAGGTTCCATCAACGATGTGTGGGCAGCATCCCCATCAAATCCATAGTTTTATTTCCCAGAGGATTAATGGCATTTCAATCAGAACAGTGCCTCTAGACAAATGCAGTAATAAGTTGGAGATACGATCTTCAACTTGTGAAACCCAGAAAATGAGAAAATAGAATCATAACAAAGCAGGTGACATTAAATCATCTACTTAGGGTAAAGGTTGTATTGTACCCCATTCTAGATACAATTGAAATGAATTAATAGTAGCATTTTTAAAATGAAAAAAAAACTAATTCATGGACCTTAATATATTATATAGCTGAAGACAGCTGGAAAAAGTATTGATGAAATTATTACCGAGAAATGACTTGTGTTTGAGAAGATGGAGGGAAAATTGCTCTTGTTTGGTCATTACATAATGTGAACAGGAATGGAATCATCACACTATACCATATAAATCAGTGTAACTACTTTGTAAATCAAAAATTAAATAAAACTTACATAATGAACTCATAACAAGTTATTACGCATTGGATATAGTCAATGATACACCTACTGAAGTTGTTAGAATAAGTATGGCCCCTCGACTCATGTGTTTGAGTGCTTGGCTCAGGGTGAATGGCACTATTAATTAGGAGGTGTGGCCTCGTTGAATTATGGCCTTGTTGGAGGAAGTATATCACTATGGAGGTGGGCTTTGAGATTTCATGTAGGCTCAAGCTGGATCTCACGGGCAATGGCTTCGGCTGCCTGGGGATCAAGATGCAGAATTCTCACCCTCTTCTCCAGCTCCATGTCTGCCTGCACTCTGCCATGAAGATAATGTACTAAGCCTTTGATACTGTAAGCCAGCTCCAGTTGAAGGTTACCTAAAACAGACATGATGCAATCATTTGATTTAAAAATGCAATAGATTCATTTCAATGGATTAAAGGAAAGTTGTTTGTCGTGGTTTGGGAAATTGTTGGCAGGTGGTTACTCTAGTTGCAGATCAGCATATGAATGTGTGTTCAATGGATCTCAGTGAGACAAAAGAGATGTAGAGATGTCTCTCACTCAGCAAAGACTAGTGGCACCCAGGACAGCACAGGATACTGGGGAAACCTCACATCCTACATATTCTCTTCTATGTCATAATATTGATAATTTACTTGGTATGTTTAGATTCACTTCATCACTCATGTATGGCATATTAGTTGCAAAGGAAGAATTCAAACTTTCACTATTGCAGATAATATGATGCATATGTGACCCCAAAAATCCTACCAGACAACTCTTACAGCTGATAAATACCTTCAGTAATGTGGCTGGATACACGATTAACTCAAAAAATCAGTAGCCCATTAATATACAAATAATAAATGGCCCAAGAAAGAAATCAGATAAACATACCATTTACAATAGCCAAAAATAATGTAAAAATATCTTGGGGTAACTCTAACCAAACAAGTAAAAGACATGTATGAAAAGAACTTTAAGCCTTTGAAGAAAGAAATTCGAGACGCTGTCCCTTTACTGCTGGGCATGTAGCCTGTCTTCTCGAGTACTTTGTTAACCCAGCGAAACTCCCTTGGAGGAGGACTCTACATTTTCATTTGCTGGTGACAATGCTTTATATATAGCTTATGGGTAGGTGTGGGGCATGTATACACTTATTCTTTCAGCTATAGACACTTATCTGATGCAGATGCATGCAGGCCTTGTGCATCCTGCCTCAGCCTCTGTGTCATGTATTTTTGTCAGTCTTGTTTCCAGGCCTGCCTTCCTTGGGGTCTCATTCTTTCTGACTCTTACACTTACTCTCTCTCCTCTTCTGCAGAGTTGCCTGAGCCCTGAAGGGAGGAATTTGATGCTGACATAATGTTTAGGACTTAGTGTTCCAAACCTGTCTCTCCCTGCACATTGTCTGGCTATGGATTTCTGAAATTGTTACTGTCTAACACAAGAGTAAGCTTCGGGGATGATGGCTGGGCAAGGCACCGATCTATGAGTATAGTAGAATGTCACTAGGAGTCATTTATTGCTACATCCCTTCTTAAGCAAGCACTATGAGTATCAGACTGCGTAGATGCAATTGGTGGAATAGTGTAGTAGGCTTACATGGAAAGAGTTTTCTAAGGAATGATATTTAAAGTTTGTCTTTTTGAATTAAAATTTCATAAACTAATTTAATCAACCAGAATTAACTGCCATCTCCAAAAATGCATTATAATCAATCTGACTTTACTTAGTACTTCAAATATATTTAAAACCTATAAGCTCAATAAATCCACCTACATGTTCTCTATTTTGTCTTTGTGATCCTTTCATGTTGTTGACTCAGAAAATATATGTGTGCGTGCATGCCTGCATATGTGTGTGTGTGTGTGTGTGTGTGTGTGTGTGTGTGTGTGTGTGTGTTTTATGGTGATTAGGCCTCAGTCTACTCAATAGAAACTGTTACGATAAATCTTTCTGCCAAAAGCCACCTAGCCCCACTGCAACTTGTGTGCTCTATGCCAGCCGAGTTAGGGCCCAAATGAATACACAGAGAGACTTGTATTAGGTACAATGTTGCTTGGCCAATATCTAGGATTCTCATCTGTTAGCTCAGTCACAATTACTCAGTCTCAATTATCATATATCTATACATTTTATAAGACTTATCAGACGCCTTATTGGCTTCCTTCCTTGTTGGTGAATCACATCCCGCTGCTGGAGCGGGAACGGAAAATAGAGTGACACTTCCTTTTTCCTCTTTTTAAATATGAGTCTCCTTGCTATGTCACTTCTCTACTACATTTCCCAGAATCCTCTTTGACTCCTAGTCCAGCCTAACTTGCTGTCTCATTGGCCAAGCAAATACTTTATTTAGCAATCAATAAGATAAACATACACAGAAGTATTTCCCCCATCAAGAAGCAGCAAGACTTTGAAAACAATTGCCTCTTATCCCCATGGATAAGGAAAAACATTTTGGTATAGTTTGTCATTATTTAATTTTTGTCTTTTGGTGTGGTTTTGAGTCAGTTAGGCCTTGAAATTTTTTTCTTTATGAGAAACCTGTAAGTGATTGATTACAACAAAATCCCTCATTATTTGTTCTCATCACATTTGCTGAAGTGTATAATTTATAAAAGAATGGCCTATTTTTTTTAAATCAGCCTACTACATCATAGATTAGACATTTTAAAGATTATATTTCTTTTAGAGTAGACCAGGAAGAAATCAAACTCTTCTGAATGAAGAAATCTTGTTCTGGGCAACATCACCAGAAATTAGTTTTTCTTTTATGTGGTATCACCACAGTTTTTGAAGAGCAATATATATCTGGTTTCTCTGTGTTCATTCAAAAATTCATAGCCTAACTGCCCTTGAGAAATAACTACAAAGAGGATCTCAGATACTGCATGAGATTTAAAATTGCTTAGTTGAAAAGAGCCACTAGTATATTCCTCACATGTACACATTTTACACACACATGTACACATACAATGATGGATATTTCTCACTAATTTCAGCAATCACATAGACACAGGTTTTCCTTCACCTTCATAGTACAGTTCTTTGAAGTAAATTACTTGCTTACATCACAATTATTTTAGCAGTTGGGGTTTGGAGACAGGTGGTTTGACTTCTCTGTTGTGTTCTGTAATAGACACTCTTTCTTAGGACCCCTGCAACACTAATAGCTAAACCTGTATTTGCTTTACTGATGAATATGCCATATTGGGGTGCCATTGTATAACATTACTAAAATAAGTTTAGTTTCAATACATCAACATTTTACTACTTTATACGTTGTGCATTAAGATTTATATGGCTATTTTTAGTTGGTATCTAATATTATGATGAAGATATGATGTTAATGCAATGCCATTTGTTCTTGTTTCAGGTCATATTCTCTTCAATACTGTGAAAAATTGCATTTTCTATGAACATCGTATTTTATAGAAAAACTCAGAGGGGAAAAATAGAAGCATTTTGAAGTTAAAACTGAAATTTAAGTGAAGATATTACCTTTTATTGTAAACATAAAAATAACATTTGGAAGCCGGGCAGTGGTGGCACACACCTTTAATCCCAGAACTCTGGCAGCAGAGGCAGGTAGATCTCTGTTTGATTCTAGCCTGGTGTTTAAGGAGCTAGTTCCAGGACAGCCTCCAAAGCCACAGAGAAACCCTGTCTCGAAAAGCAAAAACAAAACAAAAAAATAACATTTGGATTTATAGATGTCTTGTTAAAATACTTGCAGATATTTTCTTCTTGTAAAGCA